AGAATTCTCCAAAACTTTCCCAGAGTTTTGGAGAATTCTCCAAACTTACTGGATAGTTTTGGAGATTTCTCCAAAACTTGTTCTTTCTCAACTTTGGCATTGTTCCTCAGAGTTTTGGAGAATTTTCCAAACCTTTCCCAGAGTTTTGGAGAATTCTCCAAAACTTCTAGATAGTTCTGGAGATTTCTCCAAAACTTGTTATTTCTCAACTTTGGCATTGTTCCTCAGAGTTTTGGAGAATTCTCCAAAACTTTCCCAGAGTTTTGGAGAATTCTCCAAACTTACTGGATAGTTTTGGAGATTTCTCCAAAACTTGTTCTTTCTCAACTTTGGCATTGTTCCCCAGAGTTTTGGAGAATTCTCCAAAACTTTCCCAGAGTTTTGGAGAATTCTCCGAAACTCCTGGATAGTTTTGGTGAATGCTCCAAAACTTTTTCTGACTTTGATAATTTTGTTTTTTTTCTGGAAGGTTACTTATGTCTCAATCTTGGCATTGTTCCTTATTATTATTTCCTATCTAAAAGTTAAAGTTGGCGAACGAACTTCCAAAAACTTGTTGATCTTTCCGACATGGATTGAAGAAAACATGTTTTGGGTCTTTGGGTCAGGGCTGGGTTTGAACCGAGACCTTTTGTGATAATTTTGTAGAACCAGCATCACCAACATATGTCCAATTACAAACAAACGGAAATGAAAATCAACAAAGTCAAACATCATATATATATAATCATAATCATATTAATCATATTTATATAATATATAAAATAAAATCAAAGTAATCAAAGATCAGTTAATCAGTTTTGCACTTTTACCCACGCAACAGCAAGAACTGGTGTTGTTGTCAATGCTGAGCAATGGATGGTGGGGGCAGCGGCAATAGCGGCGACAGCGCTCAAATTATCCAGTTGTTGCAGAATATCATCCAGCTGCTTAGGCTGATCCTGGAGCAAATGCATTTGCAAATGCAAGTCACCGGCGCTGCCAACTTAACAGCATCAAGAACTACAACTCCAAGGATTCCTGGGTCAGCCTAAGACTAGTGAAGTTTCTGATTTGTTTCTGAAGCGATATGCGGTTTGGTTGAGCTACACGTGGGCAGCAACACGCCTCAAGTTGGTTACCTATTTCAATTTTGGGGTAAGAATTTCCCGATTTTCTGCCAACGGTAAAATAATTTTCAAAGAACGATCACTGTTAGTTATACTGTTATACCATTGTTTCATAACATACTGAAGTTTCTCATGTTGGATTCAAGTCAATTCCATTGAAAACAATGTTAATTTGCGAGTGTGATTGCTTTTGGTTAAAGTTTGGTTTTATGCATGATGGTCATGGTGATGATGATGATGATGATGATGGTAACTGATTCATCTGTCAATGATGGATTGTATGATTGTAATGTTGTAAATGATTCGGCTCAATGATCAATTCACTAAATGCCGCCTTGTGCAGGACAGAGCCACCACAGCCGACAGAGCCACCGCAGCAGACAGAGCCAACCGATGTAGTCGACAGGACAGCAGACACAGAAGCCCCTACCAGTGACAGTGCAGCCAGTGAACCACACTCCAAGCCAGAGAGCCCAACCGAAGTGTTTGAGTCAGAAGAATCTTCATCATCTTGCCATTTCTCAGAAATCACTCATCTACCTGTACCGTCGGAAGTGCCATCCGTGGAACAAGACGGAGATGACCGAACTTGACTCGAAAGCGGCGATTGTGATTCGATTGTGTTTTTGTTGAGTGTCGAGTTGGTTGGAGGTAGATAATTCCCCACCTGCCAGGTGAAGGTTGTTAGATTTTATCAGAGATGTTCTTCTCCTCCTCCTCGGCTAGCTCTTCTCCTCCTCCTCCTCCTCTTCCTCGCCTCCTCCTCCTCCGCCTCCTCCTCCAGTTTCTCCTCGACCATAACTCTTCGCCAAGCTCTTTGCCAACTCTCTTCGCCAAGCTCTTTGCCAACTTCCCAGCTCAGTGTGCACCGCTGGACCTCAACCTGGGACCTTCCCAGCTCAGTGTGCACCGCTGGACCTCAACCTGGGACCTTCCCAGCTCAGTGTGCAGGACCTCAACGGCCAGATAGAATGCCAGAAGATATGCCAGATAGAGTGTTAGAAGATATGCCAGATAGAATGCCAGAAGATATGCCAGATAAAATGCCATGAGATATGCCAGAAGATATACCAGATAGAATGCCAGAAGATATGCCAGATAGCATGCCAGAAGGTATGCCAGGTAGAATGCCGGAGGAAATGTCAGATAGAATGCCAGAAGATATGCCAGATAGAATGCCAGAAGATTTGCCAGATAATATGCCAGATAGAATGCCGGATAGAATGCCAGAAGATATGTCAGATAGAATGCCAGAAGATATGCCAGATAGAATGCCAATGCCAGAAGATGTGTCAGATAGAATGCCAGAAGATATGCCAGATAGAATGCCAGAAGATTTGCCAGATAGATAGAATACCAGAAGATATGTCAGAATATATGCCAGAAGATATGCCAGATAGAATGCCAGATAGAATGCCAGAAGATGTGTCAGATAGAATGCCAGAAGATATGCCAGATAGAATGCCAGAAGATATGCCAGATAGAATACCAGAAGATATGCCAGACGATATGCCAGAAGATATGCCAGATAGAATGCCAGAAGATGTGCCAGAAGATATGTCAGATAGAATGCCAGAAGATTTGCCAGTAAGAAAATCTATAAATGTCATGGTGGGGATCACACGAAGTAAAGTAAAGTAATTTTTAACAATGGGAATCACAGTCACAATCACTATCAACCAATCTGATCAAAATCCGGAGATGGTGATGAGATGAGATAGTCAGAAAGTCTCAAATCAGAAACAAAATCAAAATGTTTGTTTTTGGTCGGTCATTCAGCAGTGTTGGCTACTGCAACACATTCTGTCACATTCTATTCTGTCACATCCATTTCCCAGAACAGGTTTGGCTCCGTTACAACAAGTGGTGAATATGTCATCAATCATCAATTACATCAATGTCATCAATCATCGATTACAATCAATGGTTTTAATGCCAGGATCATTGTCACAACTGTTGTTCGTTTTTTGGTTTGTTACTTTTGACCCTGCGCTGTGGCAGCAAGTGTCACTACTTTTATCTTTGAGCCATGCCTCCGAAAAGGGCTATGAAGGTTGCAAAAACCATGAAGGCCCCAAGGCGGCCCAAGAGGAAGGCCAAGCGCCCTGCTGCTGCCGCCGCGAAAGCAAAAGCAGAACCCAAGAGAGCATCTAGACGGAAAGCCAAGGCAAAGCCAGTACCAAAACGAACCAGAAACGAAGAGACTGACAAGGACGACAGTGACTCAAATATTGACGCCTTGGGGCTGCTGCAAAGCACAACTCCGCCAGAGTCTCCAAAGAAAGCCTCTTGTTCGTCTTCGTCAAGTACATCATCGGAAGATGGCATGCCTTCACCTTCACCATCAAACACAGAGGAAAAGAAGAAGGAGCTGGAGAAGAGCACCGCAGCCTGCGCTGTGCAGGCTTACCAAGAGGAGGACAGAAGGGGTTCGGTTGGGTCGGTCGCATTAACTATAACTTCAGTCCTGAACTTCAAAGCAACATCCACAGCCACAGCCCACAGCGACCCAAAACATATTCTGTCCAAGTTTTGTTAGTGAGGTTGTAGATCCACCCTTACTCTCGAGGCCATTGCTTGCTCAAGTCTAAGTATCTGCAAGTTTCAGCAGTTCAGCATATGACCAAACCTTAGGATCTATAGAGGAACCTAGTACCTACACCGAAGCTACAACGTTGTTCTTGCAGTTTTTGAGCAATGGCCAAAGAAGACCGAAGGCGATGTCATTCTAGAAGTAGAAGCCGCAGCCGTGGTCCCAGCCCTGAACCAAATGATCTAGATCATCAGCTATTAGCAGCTGAAATTATGCAGTGCAGGCTGGCATTGACAAAGCTCTACAAGAGGTTGCTGGACCAAGTTCAACCGATTTCTTGGAACCGCAAAGTGATTAGGAACATGGCAACTTTGCACACTGTGTGCCGCAGACTTGCAGCCATTGAATCATTGATGGTAGATCCAGAGCCAATCCAAGGGACTGGCCAGACAGGCCTTGATGAAGACAGGAAGTCCGACTCCGACTCCCACTCCAATGAACCTATGCCTATGCGACAGTTCGTACGCAGAATGACCCACCACATCGACGACCAAGAGATTGACACCACAGAGAACACCCATAGAAGTTCTGGATGTGATCCTTCTGGTCGTAGCGATGCTGATATGGCTTGGAAAAGTATCGGTTTACCATTGGAGGACTCTTGCACGCCTCATTCCAATGAAGCTGGACATGCTGTTAATGCTTTGACTGGAACCATTGACTTGGAGGACTTCAACTTGAACCCGGTGCCGGAGCCCCATGAAAATGACCAAGACCTTGACGACCCTGCATCCATTCGTACAGAGCAAGATCCGGCATCTGAGAGTGAGAGCGTCCAGCTAGATTTAGAAGACCAAACCAACCCTGATAGCTTGGTAAATCCCTATCAGCCATTTGCCTGGCCCTGGTGTGAACTGCGGCACTGAAGCCATTGAAGAGTCGAAGAGAATTCTTGAAATTAAATTCAACCTGTGTTTCCAAGCCTGCCGGCTTGAAATGCCGTGGGCTAATTAGAGAGTTAGTCAGCTAGTGTGGTATCTCCACACACGCTTGCACAAGTTCATTAATGGGTGAAAATTGAAGCAAGACTCAGGCTCAGACTCCACTTGATACTTTGATCCTATTGCTGACTTAGACTTATTTTTAAAACTTCACATGCATTATGACTATGAACCATCCGTAACTCCGTAAGTAACAAGTTCGATTGGCACTGGCACTGTTGTAAGTTGTACATTCACGATTGCAGGACATGCTTGGAAATGCTGCAGCGTCTGATGGTGAACCTTCACTCTTGAGCCGCACATCAAATGTAGAAGAGCTTTTTCGCCATCATTTTCGAACCGTTGAGCGGATTTACAATGCATTTGGGACGGCTGGGGTGCGCCAACACCGAGACAACATCAGTGGAGCTTGCCTTGTCTCTCTATTTTCTGGACTTGGGGGAGCTGAACTTGCGATGGAACAGAACTTCGTTGCTTGCTGCTGGATGTGTGAGAGGCTGGGTCTTCCTCCTCCGAATCGTCCTCGACTCTTTGCTGAAATTCATCGTTAGAAGGTAGAATTAGAGACTTAGGATTCGATATGATCGATCTGGATTTTCTAAATAAGTCACCCAGTCAGAGTCAGTCAGTCATAAGATTTCTTCCCTCTCGACTCGACTGGACTTTTAACTTTTGAAACTTTCAACTTTCAACTTTCACAACTTTCACAACTCGACTCAGCTTAAGTTTTGATTTTCAATTTCAATTATGCTGGCCTTGATTAGGATTGATTGTGATTATTGAATATTGCCCTGAAATTTCTCCCTCCCAGGATACATCCTGGCGTGTGATGCAGATGAGAGTTGCCTCAAAGTGCTCAAGAGCCACAAACATCCTCCTGAACACCTGGTTGACAACCTCTTGAATTTCCTCACCCCGGCATGTGTCAACAAGTGCCGCAGCGTCATTGAGGGACATCGTGTTCGAGCCGAGAAAAGCCACAAGAGCCTGGACAAAGAGAAAGAGAAACTCAAGAACATTTCCGCCAAGATGAAAGAGAGGCAAAAACATCCAGAGTCGCTTGAGTTTCCTCAGCTCCAGAAAGCAAAGGATTCGAAACAGAAGCAGGGATTGACTGAGAAGATTGTTGCCATCCAAAGGGAAGTGAAGGACATAGGGAAGTCTCTCATCGTCACTTTGGTGCAAGTGATGTCACGAAAGGGTCTGAAGAAGAATGTGCAGACCACTGATAGTTCCAAGGCGGGGGTTCAAACCACCATGACACTGTCACTACCACTGTGACTGTTCAGACTTAACTTCAGAATCATCGAACGATCACTGTCGACACTGAAACTACTGTTAGTACTGACAGACTGTTAGTTTAAGTTTGATATTACATATTAGTCTGTCTGAACTTCAAGACTTATGACTTTTGTGACCTTCACACTGCAGACCATCGATCTGGACGAGTTGGCGGAGTTGTTTAAGACGCGGGAAGTGTTCAGCCTCTTCTGTTGCGGCAGTGTATGCAAGGACTGGAGCACCATGGGGAATCAAAAGGGATTCAACGGGACCTATGTTCTGCTTTGTGCCATCATGTTTGCCCTGGTGGAGCGAGTGAAGCCAAAGGCCCTGCTTCATGAGTGTACCGAAAGATTCCCTGCAGATATCTTCGAGCAGGTCTTGAACGAGTACACTGACAACCACACCATCATGCAGTGTGCTAACTTCGGGGCGCCAGTCAAGCGAACCCGGGCCTATGACTTCGTGGTGCACAAGTCCTTCGAGCTTCAGAATGGGCTGAATGATCTTGGGAAGCTATCCTCGAAATGTTTCCTGGATTCGTCGATTTGGCTTCAATCTTCAGACGCCGAGGCACAGTCATATGTTTTGATGAACTGTGACACTGACACTGACTGACAGACACTGACTTTTTTACTTTATTCATAAACTTTATTCTTCGATTCTTCTGTACTTTCATTACATTCAATGTGACAGACTGAAAGGACAGATTGGGACAGATCAACAATGATCAATTAATTTAAGCTATGATTCAAGACTCAAGACGGGATTCTAAGATTAAGACTTGAACTTAAGACTTTGACTGGTAACTTGACAGTCAAGTGACTTAGGACTTAGACTTGACTCAACTCAGACCCTACAAAAGGTCACCCACAATTGAACCATGACAGGTGCAGGCCTACAAGAAAGCCTTGGCCCACACTGCGATGAAGAGTGCAGCCAGCGAGTGGCAAGACCTACTTCCAGCATCAGCCTTTGCAAACTTGGAGTACCTGCACACTCGACCTTGGATTCAAGACAGCCTCAAGACTTCGGAGGTTGCAGCAAACCTCGACCAGAACGCAAAGTTCCAAGAACATGCAGGAGTTCAAATGCCCTGCATATTGGCTTCGGTGTCCCACATGTGGGCATTGCGTGCGAACCGACCATTCTTACCACAGGACTGACGTTTTTGCTGTCCATGTTACAAAGGTAGAATCAGAATCAAAACAATAATCATACTATACTCAGAGTCAGAGTCAGAGACTCAAAAACATTTTTCAAAGCCGGTTCGATTCAAGTTCAAGTTTTATTCCCCACCTGCCAGGTGAGGGTTGTTAGATTTTATCAGAGCTGTTCTTCTCCTCCTCGGCTAGCTCTTCTCCTCCTCCTCTTCCTCCTCCTCCTCCTCTTCCGCCTCCTTCTCCTCCTCCTCCGCCTCCTCCTCCAGTTTCTCCTCGACCATGTCTGCATCAACTTCCACCTCCACTTCCGCCTTGCCAACTCTTCGCCAAGCTCTTCTTCAACTTCCGAGCTCAGTGCGCACCGCTGGACCTCAACCTGGGACCTGCCCAGCTCAGTGTGCACCGCTGGACCTCAACCTGGGACCTTCCCAGCTCAGTGTGCACTGCTGGACCCCAACCTGGGACCTGCCCAGCTCAGTGTGCACCGCTGGACCTCAACGGCCAGATAGAATGCCAGAAGATATGCCAGATAGAATGTCAGATAGGATGCCAGAAGATATGCCAGATAAAATGCCATGAGATATGTCAGATAGAATGCAAGAAGATATGCCAGATAAAGTGCCAGAATGTTTGCCAGATAGAATGCCAGAAGATTTGCCAGAAGATATGCCAGAAGATATGCCAGATAGAATGCCAGATAGAATGCCAGAAGATATGCCAGAACATCTGCCAGAAGATATGCCAGGTAGAATGCCAGAAGCTATGCCAGATAGAATGCCAGAAGATTTGCCAGTAACAAAATGTATAAATGTCATGGTGGGGATCACACGAAGTAAAGTAATTTTGTTTTTCTTTGCCAACCGGCGAGGAGCTGATCTGCGCACAGGTGATCCCAATATTCGAGCATCTGTGGAAAGTGGCCGGGTTCAACGAACCACCTTTACGGTTTGATGCCGTGTCCTATGCAGCTATGAAGCGAATGGCAGGCAACAGCTTTAACCAGTGCTGTGCCAGCACCTTCTTAGCGTATGCACTTGCACGCTGCCACAGCTGCGAGTAATTTTGACTTGCAAGCAGGAAAGGGGAGGAACAAACATATACTGAGACTCTGGCTGAGACTTGTTTAAAACTAAAATCGACAAAGCCTCACTAAGTCACGAAGTCACCAAGTCGAAGTTTCTTGAGACTTGAGAACTTGAGACTTGAGACATCATAGAATTATAGAAACACCTTGCCTTAATAAGCCCAAGGTCTTAAGACTTGCGACTTTGTAAGACTGAAAGTTGACTCGACACTCGACACTGCGACTTCAGACTTGACACTTGAAACTTAAAGTCGATGACTTGCAACTTGTACAAACATGCAATGACTGACATTGACAGAGCTGGGTTTCTCAAACTGGTGTCAGTGAACTTGCCTCACCTTTGGGTTTCGTGCGCAAGCATGGATGATGGCAATGGCGCTGTGGTAGCTATGCCTCCACCACCGGTCCCTCAGAACAAACGCCCACCGTCGCAATCCCCAAGCAGTGCCTCATTGTCCATATGCAGTACTGCTTTTGAAAATGGTAAAGCCGAGGCAGCTGGTGCTTGTTTGAAGCTTGGACTGGAATCGGACTTTATGACTTTTTTACTTTGTTGCTGTCACTGATGTACAGTTACTCTTTGTACTTGCAAACTTTTCGATGGGTAATTTTTGTTTGTAGTTTGAAATTTGAAAGTTTGAAATTTGAAATTGTTGTTTTTTCAAGTTTCAATTTCAATTCTGTCAAGTAGCATGTTTCCTGTTTCTGTGTGTTTCTGTTTTCACTTTCTGATTGAGTTGAGATGGGTTAGGAATTGCCGGGAGCAAATCTCGCCGCAAGACAAGCTTTCCTCTCATAGCCTCAAAGAGCGCTGTATCAAATGCAGTCGTCGGCACAGATCAATTGTGCAGTCCACCCAGGACAAACAAATGGTCCACTGGTTCAACGGATTACCCTTTTCAAATGCGCCAGAGTATAGAAAGGTAATGCTCGAACATGAGCATAAGACTGCCGAGAATGGGGCCCGTGGGCCACGCAAAACCAAGTTTGACTTGCTGGAGTGCACTGGCTTTTGATTACGAAAGTTACGAAAGCGTTTTTTATTTTGGGTTTGCTGATTGCTGCTGCCGTTTTACTAATGTTCCTGTTCATGTGTGTTCATGTTACTTGTGACCCATGTCTCATCTCATGTCTATGATTATGTTGTAAGTTGATATATACTGTGCATTAGACATGACTAGTTGTCATAATTGTAAAAGTCTTCAAAGACTCAAAGATACTCAAGATTCAAAGAAAGTTAGTTTTGTTTGCTGTTCAGTTTCTCCTCCCAATTTCCACTACCAGGTATTCAGAGAAAAAACGGGCAACTCAAGGACAGCGGACAACTGCTGGATGCGTCGCAATGGACTGGCCGAAGTACCTCGCTTACTTCATGTGGCTTGGCCTATATAAGTAATTGTTTAGGTTACAGTTTAGTAGTTTTGTCTTTTTTTAGATTTCACATTTCACATTCGACTTCAATCTCAGTATATAAAGCGAAGTACTTACTAAGTGTGGCATCTGTCTGTGACATTGTAACTTAGGCATGAGGATCGAGGAAGCGACAAACTAACAGAGCAGGAATGCTTACGTGCTTGGCTTCGTGATTTAGATGGCATCAACGGGGTTCAGAGTTTCCGCACTGAGGCGGGACTTGACAGACAAACCGACACTCAAGATTCAAGACTTGAACGCTTTAAGACTTAAGACATAAATGGTGAACAGTCACCAGTGGCTAAGTCATCAGACACTAGTCATCCGTCCCTCATCAATAGATGCTTATGTTTCCCACTCCCACCGCCACCAGGTGTATAACCGGAAACTTGGAAAACTTGAATCCAGAGATCACGTTTGGGTAGCAATGAGTCTGGAAAGGAGCAAGTTTGAAGAGGACGCCTTTGAGAAGGAAATGACATTGAAGCAAATCTCCAAGGACCCCTCCGATGCACAGATCAGGGAAGCAAGCAACAAAGTGGCTTCTTTTGTTTCTTGACTTGACATCTCAAAGAACTAACTATTTCGAAGCTAATTGTTAGTCATCAGTATTTCTGTAGTTCGACAGTTCGACTGACTATAAATTTATGATAGTTGAAGTCGAAGTTGAGTTGACTGACTTGACTAAGACTAAGGGAAACTGACTCACTCAGTCACTAAGGTCTCTCATGATCCCGAAAGCGAGTTCCTGAAGACAGTTGCCTTGAGAGACTTTCAGTCTGACGTGACTGGCTTTTGCGCCCTGGGTAGTGGAGCTTCTACGGTAGACAAGGCAAGGAAAGGAAAGAAGGGAGGCGGCGGTGGCGGCGGCTCGGGCGGCAAAAGTTCAAAGTTGGTGGATGTGATTCAGCTTCGGAACAAGTACATTGTCAAGCTTTTGAGCATCATCAAGTTCACCAAAGCAGCTGTCGATGAAAGTATGACGAAGTACATCGCTTACAAGGTTGATGAGACTGAACTGTTTGAGTTGCATGACCGCTACTTGGACGTACCGGTACCTGTCTTTTTTGGACTTGGATAAACTTGGATAGCGAAAGTAACTCTGACCAATGACGACTCTAGGATTTAACCCTAGGAGCAGACAGAATTTCAAAAAAATGGACTGTTGACTGTTGACTGTTGACGGTGGAAAGGTAAATGGTAAGTGAGGACGAGGATAGTGAGGATTCCGAACTTGACAAGTGAAACATGTTTGATGTTTGACAAATTTTCCAAGGACGTACTGACTGACTGACCGAACCGGACCCAGGTTTGGTGGCTGCTGGCTTTGTGTCTGACACCATTGCTTCTTCCGCAGAAGCTGGCAATGAAGGAGGTCTTCTGAAGTGCCTTTTCATCGTGAGGAGCCGGTTCGATGTGTGCAAAATATTGGCGGCACAGGACATGGGTGATCTGCAAAAAAGACTTCATGACTGTGGTTGCGAAGTCGGGGCTGTTGTCGATTCTACTGACGTCCAGGCACTGAGTGGAAATGATTGGGCTCGGACTCGGACCCATTCGGACCCATGTTGAATTGAATCATAGTTACTGGACTGGGTGACTGGACCAAGACCAAGAGTTATTGCATTGATCAGATTGATCAAAGTGATTTATCAGTTTATCAGATTCTCAACTCAACTCGACTCAACCAACTTGGCGGCAAACTCAACTTTTTTCGTTTGCCAAAATCATTAAATGACTGACATATCACATAACTGTCAGGTGGAAGTGGTTGCAGAAGCTTTGCAAGCTTTGGTTTGTGGAGATGCTTACCTCAAAGAAAATGTGGCTCAGCACCTTTCTCCATTGACTTTACCTGAGATCATGGACGCCAACCACTTGTTTGATGAATGTGACAGCAAGGTCCGGACCGGACTTTGACTCGAACTCGACTCGAACTGTTTTCTTTTTGACTTTTACACTTTACACTGCACACTTTACACTTTACACTGTGCTTTACTTGCTTAGGACTTAAGACTCAAGACTTAGACTTAGACACTGATCTTAAAAATCATTCAGCCAGCCATTAAGTCGTGCCATTAAGCCATTACAGAATTAAGAAAGAAGAAACAAAAGACTGCGACAAACGACAGACGGACACTGCGACGAACTGTGACTGTAGTCTGTAGCTGTGGCTGTGACTTGTTTGAAGTTTCATGTCAATTTACAACTTCCCGCGTTTCCCAAGTCCCTATTCTCAACCATGCTGTGCAGGAAATGTGTGAACAAGCGATGGAGGATTCGAAAAACAGTCTCAAAGCGGCCCAACTAGCATGCCAATCTTTGCGAAGGGCTGTGCAAGACATGAGGGGTTTGCGAAAAGCTCTCAAGAAGATGAAGCCTGTCCCAGCTTCTACAGATGATGACAATTCAAAGGCCAAGAATGTCATGAATGGACGCACCAACTTGTCTTTGGGCAAAGCTGTCAACCTGACAGATCCTCAGCTGCTTCAAGGCTTCAAGGAGA